AGAACAACCCGAGAGGGTGCTAGGGGTGCTGGTAAGAGCAGACACCACTAGCACTCCCGGGGAGGCTCCATCTATTGGTGGGGAGCAGTCCATAATCAGAATGTGCCGTGTTGCCCAACAACACGAGAGTGCGTAACACCACTAGCACCATGTGCCGTGTTGCCCAACACCACTAGCACTCCCGGGGAGGCTCCATCTATTGGTGGGGAGCAGCCCATCTATTCCTGTAACCGTAACACCACAACACGACACCACTCACCGTAAATCGTAAAACTGTTCCCACCATCTAAGTGTCTCAACAACAACCAGCGCAGCCCAGCTTTGCTCCCCCCCATCCTCCTTAAAGTTTCCTCCTACTGCAACATCGCCCTCAGGCTGCAGCCTACGGGGTTCTCACACACTTCTCTCATAGAACCATTGCACCAAATCACACAACGCCAATGTGTCTCACCGTGATGGCAACGCAGTCTTGTGACATTGCAATCCCACTATCATAACCCGCACCTCACCACTGTCGTCTCTCCCACCCCGTCGATGAGAATGGACTGCAATCCCACTGTCAACTCAAGGCACAACCACCGTCGAGCGCGTACTGGCAATGCGTCTCACCAGGATGGCAATGCAGCCGCATGCCGCTGTAGTGAGTAGCCATGACAACAAAACCTTCCATCCCTCACTGGACAACTCAACACCTCCCTCCTCCCGGTCCCTTAGATTGTAGCTCTCTCCGATCTCAACGTCTTCCGCTTCTCAGCGGACCGCTTCTGCACATAGTCGAAACGGTAGGCCTGTGCATCACACAGAATCCTGATGTAGACGGAAACAAAAGGTTTTTTCTCCCGCTTACCGTTTCATAGTAAGCCCGACGCTCTGTGGAGCAAACACCGTCTTTTTTGTTTTTTATTTTTGTTTTGGGACGAGCAGACACCTCCGTTTTACTCACCATCTTTGTAAGGAGGGCGTCGCCACACGGCACATGAAACAAAAAACGACACGAGTGTATCTTCCCATGGAAGTGGCCAGGTTCATCGGTTTGCTATAAATAGTAATGAGTGTATTTGCCACCTTTCCTGGGCAGATTCACTCGTTTCATGCGCCGTGTGGCAAAAAAAAGGGGCAAAAACCATTTTTTCCTCTCCCCCCGAACCCGTTTTCTACCCTATGACATACACCTGCAAGGCACACCTAAAAATATCAGATCTTGCGCGCCTGAACCTGGATGTCATCTGCTCATAGATAAATCCACACAATCAGGCCAAACATAAAAACATGAAAAAGAAATGTAACACAAGAAAGGGCAGAAAAAACCGTTTTTTTCCCCTACCCCCACAACCCGTTTTTTGCCACACCACATACACCTACAACGTGCACCTACAATGTATCAGATCCCACACGCCTGAACCTGGATGTCATCTGCCCATAGATAAATGTACAATGAGGCAGATTCAGGCTAGCAACCCTATTCCTCTTCTGGCGTTAAAGCTCGGCCGACGAGACAATTTTACAAAATTTGTACAGAATCATTGCAGAATCCACCCATACACATTATACACGTCATTCACGGTTACAATGACGCCTCTCCAAGCACTAACTGATACCATCCAAATATTTGCGGTTGCTGCGGATATGAAGGTTAATTGGGGGACAAAGACAGAAGGATGGTGGCTCGCCTCGCCGGACATCCAACCACTGCAACAACCGCCAGTTAATTAGCGCCCAAAGGAAGAAGCCATCAAAATTCTTGGGATCCGCCTGACGGCTATGGGCCCCCCAAGACATCACGGCCAGACACTTGTAGAAATGGCACTACAAAGACTGGCTAAGTGGGATGGTCTCCACACATCGATGGTTGGGAGAGCACTGGCCATAAACAACGCGGTATTGTCTACTATTTGGTATAAAACGGCCTTTTGGGAAATTCCAAACAAGCATGTTCTGCACCTCCGAGCAGCGTTGTCAACATGCTTATGGAGAAATGATCACAAGCTAACGAAATGTCTAAAGAAAGTGGCCTGGAAATAAGTGACCCAACCTAAAAGAATCGGTGGGCTAGGCATCTTGGACCCCCAGGATGAGATCAAGGCCCTAATTTTCAAAGTGATCATTCGCCTGTTACTTGCAAATGATGTCACGTGGCTGTTACTCGCATATATACAGCTAGCTTATCTGGCCCCTCCCTCCCACCCTCAAGCCCCAGTCCACCCCCTCCAATGGCTAACAAGCAAGGCCTGGACCGTGCCCAGCTCCCCACGCCATAAGATCGACGGAACAGTTTGCAACAGTGCGAGATTGGATCTTAAACATGACCTGTTGTGGACTGCGATATTGCAATTGTGGAGGGAAATGGTCTCAGCCAAGAAGCCGCCTCCTCTAAGGTGCCAAGAGATATGGCGACAACCACTATTTGGCAACCCCGGTATATGCGACAAAACAGGCTCGCCGCTTTCCCTGGCTGCCAATACCCACTGTATGACATGGGTTAGGAACGGCTCATACTGTATTGGGGACTTCAGGGATAGCCACTGTTAGCCAGAGGGGTGCATGGAAGACTGTGCAGCAGTTGCAGCCAAATCTGAAGTACATCAGAAAAACTCAAGATAAGTTGGACCATATCCATAGGGCAGTTCCGCCTTCGTGGGTGGCTGCTCTACAAGAGGGTTCCACGGTCTGCAGTCTGGATTGGGTAATGATGAGCATCTGAAACCCCATCCCCATTACCATCTTTTGGGTG